CCACAGGCCTGTCTACCCCTAATACTCAGGTCTCCAGGTCTTTTCCAGGGCTCTTCTATGCACAGATCTCTCAAGCAGGCCTCTGTGTCCCAGACTGCTCAAAGGTCACCTCTGCCTTGATTTCAGCTTCCTCCTCCCCCACCTCAAAAACCACTCTCTACTCCGCCTTATGGATAACCTTGACTTATTGTTACCCTTATGGATAACCTTGACTTATCGTTTCCTGGGTCAATCAGTGATTGTCTCCAGGAAGGAACCTATTAAGAATGTGGAGGTTCCAGGCCTTGCCTAAATCAGATGAGATGAGAATTCTGGAGAGTGGGACCAGGTTCTTCCAGGCAACAAGACCCCCCTCCCCCACCGGGCAACTCTGAAACCTGGCCAGGACTCACTTTCAAACCCCGATGCAGTGCACACTGTTTCTGGGAACCGCTGTTAAAATGCAGATTCTCATTCCACAGCACTAGAGTGGGACCTGCGGCTCTCTGCAAGCTCCGCACCACACTGACGCTGCCTGGTGAAGCACTCTGGAGTTCCAAGGGCCTAAAACCACGCTCGCCAACGGAACTTTCCACAAGTATGTAGAACGAAGTTCTAACTCAGCATCATTCGACAGTCACGGTTAACGCATGTGCCTACTAGGCATCGGAGATAGACTAATGTGACCAAGGAGCTGACTTCATTCTTGGGCCAACAGTGCAGAATATGTGTGCCCTACCATAAAAGGCATCTACAAATTCTTGGCCTAAGCAGACTGAACGGATAGGAAAATCCCACCAAAGGCCTAGCTGATCTTGATCGCCAGCTCAGGAGTGGGTAAATATTTGCCAAAGGTAGGGGCACAGATATGGAAGACTGAATTAAACCACCTTGGAGCCACTTAGGACACACCTCCCTTCAAGGCCCTCTCCACCCCACAGCCCTGACCACACCCCACAAGCAGTACTGGTCTTGGGCTTTACATCAGTCACCCTGGACGTTCTCGCAGACATGGCCTGTCACCCGAGTGATCTGCCTGGAGGATGTTTCTCCCACTGGATCACAAGTTTTCTCAAGGAGAACGGATTTCTAATCCTTTCATCTGACACAGCAGGATTCCATAGATCCCAAATGAACAGCAGCAAGAGCTAGAACCCACAAGAGGGCACAAGCAGCGCTTCTACTACTAATCATAAAAGAGAAATTTAACTCAGCTAGAGGGAGAAACCAGTTCCATTCTAACTGATTCAAAATGATCCAGATACATCAATGGAGATCTCAGAGCAGCACAGCACGGTGGCCTGTTGGCCTAGAGAGGTTTCCTTCCAAGAACACAAATATCCTGGGAAAGAAGTGGCATCCTTCTGACCATGGAACCAAAATCTGTTAGCCTGGGATCTTGAAGGAGCTGGTTTACAAACAGGTCACAGCTCAGAATCAAAAGCAAGGCCAGTTCCCATTGGAACTGCGGGGCGGAGCCTGGCCCATGAAGAGCAGGCCCCCTGGGAGTCTACACAGTCCAGATGTTCATTCTCCCTTTTCAGTTAGAACAGCAAAGAGGTTTCCAAGGTAACCAAAGACAACAGAGTGAGAGAATCAAGGCCCTGGAAGGAAGGAGATTAAATTTTAATACTTAAGAGTCAATATCAAATTTATTTTTAAAACTACATCAAGGCAGAATGGATGGAGCAACGAAGGCACGCCTCACTGACCACACGGACATCCCCAAAACGGACACATTTTCTTTCTCTGTTTCGGGAGTATTCTCAAGTAACCCGGGGCTTAAAGAAACTAAGAAACACAGAGAGCTGGAAAGGAGCAGCTCAGCTTTGAGATTGATGCCACAGCTACCTGTTGCCTCCCTCATCTCCAAAAGCACAAAGCAGCCCTCACTCCGCGGCGTCTGCTAACACCGCGAAAAATAATGCAAAGTAATTGCTTCACCCGGAGAAAGTCATCACCAAGGGGAAAGGTTAAAGCCAGCCACACTCTCCTGGCTCTGAAGACAACAAATACACTTGTTAGGTCGAGAGAATGTATGGGGGCTGGGAAGACAGTGGTCCAGTGCTTGCCACACAAGCTTGTGAACCTGAGAGTCGATCCCCAGGATCCAGGTAAAAGCTCAGGACAGTGGTGATACCCCGCCCCGCCCCACTCCGGAGGCGGAGCAGGGAAAGGTGAAGGAGAATTGATTGAGGAATGCATCCAGCGTCAACCTCTGGCCTCAATCAGCACACAAACCATCCCGTGCACCTGCAGCCACACACAGAGGGAGAGACAGAGAGGCAGATAACAATTTCCATTTATTTTTAGCCTTCACCATTCATCCATTTCCTTCCCCCCTTGCCCCATTCTCCCTCCAGGTCAAATATTAACCGCAGTGAAATCTGGTAAAACAATTAGCTAGTAGTAAGTCAGTTGTCTGTCAGATGCTGTACCACACAACTTCACCAGACTTCAGAAGCGGACAGATACGATGATTCAGGCTGAAAAATGGAAAAAGAAAGGGAACTAGTGGGGAAGGGTGTTCCTCCTAATTCACACAACTGGAAAGTGACAGAACCTGACCTGAAGGTGGTTAGTCTGGCAAAGGGACAGCTTAGAGAACACACAATTACTTAAGCATAAGATAAGAAGCCATGTAGTTGGTGAAAGCAGCATGGAGCCAAGTTCAAAGTCACCCTCTCTTAGCCTCAAGTTCCTCATCTACAAACCAGGGCTAGAGATTCGACACAGCAGGGATGCCATCTGAAGTACGGCCAGGCACTAGCTAACTGCTAATACAGGTATGCCAGCCCAGAAAGCCTGTTTCCGTCAGAAACCGACTATGACCACACATAGCCTCCATGGGAAACCAACAGGCTTATATATTTTTTCAATCTTATTTGTGTGAAATGTGTAACTTCATGTGCATCAAAAAACCCACGCTCGTGTTTGATCCCAGCATGAAAAAGATGTTTGCTTGAAATCTAAGTATTGTATCGTGTGTTACTACATACATAGAACAATTATGTGTAATGGAAGTGAACATTAACTAATCTAGGAGTGGGAAGAGCATTATTTGAAGCAATCCAGGCTGAGCCCTTTCAACTTTACCTCCAACTCCAAGTTCATACACACTATTATCCTAGAGTGGGCACTGGGTTTGCTTAAAAATGAGATAAGCCAGAAATGGTCTTAATTCTTCCCTCTTCGCAACCTGAACCCATTCTCTGCTAGGGAGACACACGAAGCAAGCCCGCAATTTAACAAAATGACCAAATCCAGTCTCTCTCCAATCTACTCAGTAACTGAGCTCTTGGGTAATCTGTATTGCGTGCAAAAGCAGCTTTGGTTCATCCGCTGCAAACCAAAATTAATCAGAGGGAAGGTATGCCAACTTAATCGCAACTCCTTTTGCCTGGCTCCCCAACATCTGCCAGTGTTAATATTTAGCTGACACACTGCAGTGAGGAAAGCATCCCAACTTCATAAACACAAGCTTTCTTTCAACTTCCTTCCCAAAGAAGGATTCCTACCTTTTTAAATGTAATCCTTTCAGTAAGAATGAATGACGCATTTTCCTAATGCTTTTCAACTGGCACTTATGGGGTGGAGGATGGAGAGAGACACGACTCCCCATGCCTCAGCTAAAGGGGCCCTGTTTAAGCCGTGCTGGCAGAGGCAGAAGAAAGCAATCCGCACATGACTGAACTCACTACAGAAGATTTACAAGCAGATCTTTTGGAAGAGGGGAGAGGAGAGAAAGAGGAGGCTGCACCAGGATGCTGAATCTAGTATTTTCCATTGAGACTAGTCGTGACTGTGTATGTCTCCAAAGAAAAATATTTTACGCTGAACAGTCTAGATTATTTTTTTCAAGCGGTTCTTAATAGCAGATGCAGCGTCCAGGCACGGGGAAAGGATTTAATGACATTGCTTCATTTAAAGCTCTCTGAAGGCCAACCCTTTCCCCGCCCCCATCGCTGGCATGGGTATTACCCCAATCTTAAAATTCTGGGCAAAAGAAATGTAGTCATCGGTTCACTACTGCCACACGTGTGTCTTGTACGCCAGTTACCTATTGTGAGCCCTGCTGAGCGCAGAAAACCTAGGGAACCGAAAAGATGAGACTCTGAATTCGGTTTGAAAGATGAAGAAAATGATAGAAGTGTGGCTGTCCCAAGTCACACAGCCAGTCCTGGCCCGGGGACTCACACAGACCCTTCCAAGTCTGCTCTAATTTTCAAAACGAGCTGCTTGACTCTCGCAAGATCCCTCTTCCCCGGGATCTGGAGAGCTCGCTGCTTAGCAGTTTGATACAATGACTCTGCACCTTGAGAGCCCTTACTAAAATCAGGCCTTTTCCAGGTTAAGGACAAGAGAGATGACCATGGTGCCAAAAGGCACCACACAGGTAGCACAGGAACGGCCACCAGGGCCTTTCGGACTTCTAAGCGCCGGCTGTCCATCTCCCCGGCAGCTCTACTCTGCGGCACGCAGTGGGAGCTGCCAGGCCTCCCGGGCTGGGATGGCACCCCTGCCTGAGCAGCTTCGGGGTCCCCTGGACCTACTCCTTTGCTGGCTCAGGGAGCACAGCTGCCCCCGCCGGGCCACTTCTGGAACAAGTTGGAGAGGTCCGCAAGAGGGGACCCACCACCCGGGGCAGAGCGCGCAGGGGTCCCCGGCTCGCAGCCGCCGCGGACTCTGCGGCCGAAGTTGACCTTGCCGAGGTGTGGAGCAAAAGACCTGAAACCCTGCGAGGGAAATGAGAGCAGACAGGAGGGTTCCCCCAAAAAGGCCCAAGGTGGCCCAACAGCCTCTCCCCAGAGCCACCTCTCTGGGAACAAAGGGCTTCTGTGTCGGGCACTGCTGGCCCGGCCGCTACCGGCTCTGGGGGACCAGAAACTTTTCCCGGGTGTGGGCGCGGGCGGCGGGCACTGTGCATCAGGCAGCAGGCGCAGACGACTGCGGGTTCCAGGGAGCAGCGCGATCCCCACGGCCCGAGCCCTCCGCCCCGCGCCGCCGAGGCTGCCGCTCACCTCCTCGATGGCCGCCACGGTGTTCCGGCACTGGGCCGTGCGCGTGGTGAAGCTGGAGGCCGTGGGCGCCTTGTAGTCCTCATGGGTCTCGGCCACGAATTCCGACACGGAGATCTGGTCCGGCATCGCCGCGGCGCGCGGGCGCGGACC